ACCCTGGAGTGCTAGAGGGCTGTCCCTCCAAAACTTAATTTGAATCCTAGTTGTCCTTAATCAGCTGAAATGACATTTTTCCAAGAAAATTCCACCACCTTTCCCAGGCACAATGATGTTCTTCCCATACATTCTCAGTTTCATGAATCTGTCATCAATTACGGACACTATTCTCAAAAATCTTCATTAAAAAATGAATTATCTTAAGCATAAGCAGACAGGAGGAGGCACCCTAGATTGCACTCTCCTAGTTAACACCTAGGGGTGTTAACCTGGAGTCCTTTAGAAAAGGTTTGGGAATCAAAGTACAGATCTAAATTTATTAGGGCACGTTGGACAAATCCCTTACCTAGCCGTGTTTAAGCCACCATTTTTCCAATGGTAAAGTAATGCAAAAAGGCGTGATAAAGGCCTAATTCCATGAAAGCATGTAATAAGCCCTCTTCAGTAATAGTATTTTTCTTTCTTGGAAAGCAACCATTTACCTCCAACGGCAGCTGTTACCACAAGAGGGCACTATCAGCACAGCTGGAAAAGCATGGCTGCTTTTCCTTAGATTCAATCAGCTACCAGCTCAGGCCTAAGCTTTCAGCCTGTGGCATGTGAATTTTAAGAATGGATGGCCTTTCACATGCATATTGTGGCAATGACCTTGGTACCCCCTAAGTAATACAAGCAGATCAGGAGTAACAAGAACCTAATATGGGAGTGAAAAGGAAAGGTCTTTTGAGTCAGACTGATTAGGGTTCCACAGCTGCATTGGATAACTGCGTCTCACTGAGCTAGTTTCATCTGTAAGACATGGTTGTGCCAGGCTTCAGTCGGAGAGAGAGGCTGGGTGCTTGCCCCTGTTAGCTCAGTCTGGCTGGCTGGCTGGCTGAGCAAAGACATGGTGAGCGCTACAGGAAATAAGTCCTGGAGGGACTGGTCTCTGCTCACCTGCTGTGAGTGCACGAACCAGCTCTGTGCTCTGCTCCTCCCCACCACGCCTCTTCTGTGGAGCCCCCACTACCGACAGCCTTGAGTGCAAAAGCCAAGCGAGACAAGGAACGAGCTAAGGGCTAAATGAAAGAGCATATATTACAACTTAGAAGGAAAAAGTCTCAAACTCTATGAGGACTTTGAAAAGTTAATTAGAACACAAGCCTTAAGGACAGTCTGCTCAACATACAGGTGTCAGGAACACTGGATATTCACCTGCAAATGAATGAAGTTGGACCCTTACCTTACACCATATTACAAAAACTAAAAATGGATCCAAGACCTAAATGTAACACCTAAAATTATAACACTCTTGGTAGAAAAAATAGGATAATGACACCAAAAGCAGAGTCAACAGAAGTAAAAATACATAAACTGTACTACATCAAATTTTAAAACTGCATCAAAGTACACAGGAGTGAAAAGGCAACCAATGGGAGAAAATATTTGTAAATAATGTATTTGATAAGGGTGTAAAACTCAGAATATATAAAGAACTCTTATGGGACTTCCACCCAAGATGGAGGCATAGGTAGACACTGTGCCTTCTCACACAACCAAAATAAGGACAACAAAAATTTAGAAACAAAAAAACCAGTACTGACAGAAAATTGAACTGTATGGAAGTCTGACAACCAAGGAGTTAAAGTAGACACACTCACCCAGACCAATAGGAGGGGTGGAGTCCAGCGGCTGGGCAGAGAGGGGTTGCAGCAGCAAAAGTGGCAGTTGGTGGATCCTGGGCACACAAGGTGGCGGCTTGTGGAGGGGCATAGTGTGCAAGGCAGCTGGCAGAATGTGCGTTCCCCCATTCATGTGCAGATAAACCAGGAGAAACTGGGGAGTGGGACAGACTGCACAACCCAGGGTCCCAGCTCAGGGAAATAAAGCTTCAAAACACCAACTGAAAACACCTGTGGGGGTTGAGGTCCCGGGAGAAGCTCCCAGCCTCACAGGAGAGTTCACTGGAGAGACCCACAGGATCCTAAAACATACACAAACCCACTCACCCAGGAATCAGCACCAGAAAGGCCCATTTTACTTGTGGGAAGTGGCGGAAGGGACTGAAATCCAGCAGAGAGTGGAGCAAGCACCATTGTTCCCTCTCGGACTCCTCCCCTACATATAGAGTCACCCCTCACTATGTAACAGGTGCATCAACACACACAAAAATGGCCCAAACAAAAGAACAGGTCAAAGCTCCAGAAAAAATTCAACTAAGTGATGAAGAGATAGCCAACCTATCACAGTTGGCACAGTTCAAAGCACTGGTGATCAAGTTGGCACAGATGCACAGTTCAAAGCACTGGTGATCAAGATGCTCACAGAATTTGTTGAATCTGGTCGCAAATTAGATAAAAAAAGGAAGGTCACGCTAAGTGAAATAAAGGAAAATGTACAGGGAACCAATAGTGATGGGAAGGAAACTGGGACTCAAATCAATGGAGTGGACCACAAGGAAGAAAAACAAGCAAACAGAAAAGAACTAAGAAACAAGAATTCAAAAACAATGGAGAGGCTTAGGAACCTCCAGGCCATCTTTAAACATTCCAACATCTGAATCATAGGGATGCCAGAAAGAGAAAAGAGCAAGAAATTGAAAACTTATTTGAATAAATAATGGAGAACTTCCCCAATCTGGCAAAGGAAACAGACTTCCAGGAAGTCCAGGAAACTCAGAGAGTCCCAAAGAAGTTGGACCCAAGGAGGAACACACCAAGGCACATCATGATTACATTACCCAAGAGTAAAATGAAGGAGAGAATCCTAGAAGCAGCAAGAGGTAAGGAGACAGTCACCTACAAAGGAGTTCCTATCAGACTGTCAGCTGATTTTTCAAAAGAGACCTTGCAGTCAAGAAGGGGCTGGGAAGAAGTATTCCAAGTCATGAAAGGCAAGGACCTACATCCAAGATTGCTCTATCCAGCAAAGCTTTCATTTACAATGGAAGGGCAGATAAAATGCTTCTCAGATAAGGTCAAGTTAAAGGAGTTCATCATCACCAAGCCCTTATTATATGAAATGTTAAAGGGACTTATCTAAGAAAAAGAAGATAAAAAACATGTACAGTGGAATGACCGCAAGCTCACAATTATTAACAACCACACCTAAAACAAAAACTAAGCAAACCACTAGAACAGGAACAGAAGCACAGAAATGGAGATCACATGGAGGGTTGGCAACAGGGGAGTGGGAGGAGGAGAGAGGGGAAAAGGGTACAGAGAATAAGTAGCATAGATGATAAGTAGAAAATAGACAGGGGGAGGGTAAGAATAGTATGGGAAATTACGATACACGGACATGAAAAGGGGGGGAACGTGGGTGGGAGGTGGTGTCCAGGGTGGAGGAGAGTGAAGGGGGGAAAATGGGACAACTGTAATAGTATAATCAATAAAATATATTTTTTAAAAAAGAACTCATGACTCAAAGAACTCATGACTTATAAAATGGACTCAAATAGACATTTATCTAAAGAAAATATATAAATGGATGAGCATATGAAAAGATGCTAAACACTACTAATCATTAGGGAAATACAAACCAAAACCACAATGAGATATGTGGAATCTAATGAACCAAATAAACTGATGAACAAACTAGGAACAGAAGAAGGGGGTTGGGGAGACTGGAAGAGATTAGTCAAAGAACATCTATGTGTATATGCATAGCCCATGGACACAGACAACAATGTGGTGAAGTGGGGGGGGTTGGTTTGGTGGAGAGGGACAAGGTGGGGGGGTCATCTGTAATAGAGTCAACAATTTTTTTAAAACCACAATGACTTACCACCTCATACCCACTAGGATGGCTACTATCACTAAGACAAATGGTGGCAAGGATGTGGATAAGTTGGAACACTTTGTGCACTGCTGGTGGGAATGTACAATGGTATAGCCACAATGGAAAAAAGTATAGCAGTTGTTCAAAAAATTAAAAATACAACTACCATATGACCCAGCAATTCCAAAGTAACTGAAAGCACATTTGCAGAGTCATTACTATGGTTTTGAGTCCCCTCCAAATTCATATGTTAAAACCCAAATCCTCAATGTGATGGTATTTGGAGATGGACTTTGGAAGGTAATTAGGTGATGTGGTTGGAGCCCTCCTGATAGGATAAGAAGCAAAACACAGCTTGCTTCCTCTCTCTGCTGTCCCCCATGTGAGGATATGCAAAGATGAACATTTCCAGACTCAGAAGTGGGCTCTCCCCAGCCCCTAGATCTGCTGTCACCTTGATCTTGTACTTCCCAGCCTCTAGAACTGTGAGAAATAAATGTTTGTTGGTTAAGGCACCCAATCCATGGTAATTTACAGCAGTCCAAACTTGTAACCAGATTGAAGGGGTTCATTTACCTGTAGGATCAGAGCCCAGTAAAACATGAACAGAAGATTGCAGCCAAGAAAGTAAGGATGACACCAGCCTGAAGTTACAGGTAAGCGCACGCTCAAAGACCTGACTCCCTGATAGCTTCCAGGGGATGGATTATACAGGGAAAAAAAGAAATCATGATGACTGAAGGAGCTAGGGCTGTGGTCTCCACTGATTGGTTGGTGCCAGGGTAGGGCATAACTGATCATTGCACCTAGTTCTGATGCCAGCTCTGCTCAACTTCTCAAGGGTTTGTTCTGTGGACCGTTCTGCTTTCCTGGGTCCAGAGCTAAAACACAGCTGAGACCAAGATATTGTCTAGTTTGATGGAAAACTCTGTCTCAGTGGTCAGTAGACCCAGGACTTTGTTCCTAAGACTGCTGGATGTTGATCAGAACCTCACTGTCCTGAGGGCTTAATGATTAAGCCAGGGAGAGGGAGGTGGGTGAGTCAGGACACCTGGGTAAGGTCAGTTTGAGCCAAGGGGAAAAATCAAAATAAAAGGTCAGATTAAAGAAGATAAGGTTTTGGCATAGTTACAAACTAAGACACCACGATTAGCAGCATTATTCACAACAGCCAAAAGGTGGAAGCAACCCAAGCGTCCATTAATGGTGAACAGATAAACAAAATATAGATACATGTGTTCAGGAAAACATATTTATTTGACAACTTTACAAAAATATTTAGGCACATAATTTTCATGGTTATGTCACCCGATTTACATAATCTCAATCCTCAGTACCTCTTAAAAACACTAAAATGGCATTTGGTAAATAGAATCTATATTGAAAAAATACTATAATAGGCCAACATCTGTAGACAAAATCAGTTGATCATCAGCATGAGAAAGAAACATTAATGAACAAAATAATCTCTAAAAATATTTTTGTGAGATAATCTAACCAGCAGATTTCTTTTAAAAATTATTTTTAAAAAAGAAAGCTAAAAACAAAACACCCTAGAGTATCTCCTCACACCCTGATGAAGGGGCGTCCTCACAGTAAGAAAGGTGCCAGCGGCTCACAGATCCGACCACTGAGCCAGACTCAGACACAGATGCAGACGCAGACGCAGACGCAGAGGCGACCGACCTGGCTTCACGCATCTAACTCGAGGGCGGGAAGGAGGAAGGATGGGCCTGCATGGGAGCTAACTTGAGGTGACAAACTGAGAAAGTTTTAACTGAATCATCATTCTGAAGTGTAATTATCTTCCTCTAAGATAAAATATTTTTTTAAATTTACCATCAAAATATACGAGTAATTTCATCCTTTTTTTAAAACAAAAGTGGAATCACCTGCATCACATAATGGCCACAATTATATCCAGTAGGTATTTAAAAAAGACTTTGAACAGAAACTCTCATTTAAGATTCTGGAAGCAAACAAAGTACAGGGTCACATTTTTTCAAGAAATACACACATTGTCCAGGCCTCTAGCATTTAAGGAGCACAAATTAAGAAACTTGTTTTGACTAAAACCTCACCATAAAATGACAGTAACAAAATCTGTCAAGTGCCTAATGCACACTCGGCACCATGTGAGAAGTTTCTCATCCAATATCTCATTTATTTTGAATAGTATTATTTTTCCCCCTCTGAGGGAAAAATCAATTGCAGCTTTGCTGATAAGCAGGAACCAATAACACAAAGTTATGAGGAGGCAAGAATATATGCAGTAGAGGGAGGAGGGGCTCAGGGTAGTCACGGAATTCCAATAGCCCGGGCACATCTCAGAGCTAAAAGACTAGTATGAATTATAAAAGTCCTCTTAAAGAAAAAGTTTCAGCTTTATGGGTGGGACACCCCTAAGCAGCCATACTGGCAACTGCTGGCAGCTCTTACTCTCACATCATTGATTCCATTCAACTGCTGCTTTCAGTCAGGGTCCTGCTAAGGAATTGTGAACAAGAACCTTGTCCCGTTCATCTCAGTTTCCCCAGAGCTTAGTGTTGTGTATTGGTTTGGCATGATTTCAAAGCTACTTGTTCATGACAAAAATAAAGTCGTTTTAAGAGTAAAGCTGTTTTGATATAAAAGTGAAGTAAGATAGGTCATGATGACATCATCTCAGCTGCTGAGGGGTGACCCTGGGGGCTTACCAAGAAAAAAACATCGGATGTGGAAGCAATTCTGGCAAGCGGCTGCTTAGACAGTAAGTAGCATAAAGGTTTTTACAGTTTGTGAGGTCTGTTTGAGAGTCCTGTGTGGGCAAGCTCAGCTTGCTGATCTAAATAGCTCTCCCGAGACCTCTGGGCATTAGCTCGGCCATAGTAATGGTGACTCTCTGACCAGCCTGCCAGGAGCCCCTCAGAGAAGGACTCCTTGCCCACCAGCACTACTGCCATCGTTCCCTAGCCATCTGCTCCAGCAGCAGGGGACTTTTTGTGCTGGCAGCTGAAGGCAGCTCTCTGTCGATTAAGCGGTCTCTCCCGAGAACCAACCTTGTAGACCTCAACTAAATTTGGATTTTCTCTCATCTTCCCTTGCCTGGAACAATACTGCAGTTAGTCTATCGTTACTTTGAGTACGTTATTTTGTTATTGGCTCAGGAAATTATCCTAATTCCCACAGTGAACATGTGTTCAATAAAACACTGGCAAAACAATCTCAGTCTCTGAGCATAATTTTGCCACCCAAAACAAAATGTTTAGCATACTGTCTGGCATAAAAGAGACACTCAGTAAATCTTTGCTCACTGAATGATGCCATAATAACAAAATCAGAGGCGGACCCAAATTCCTAGGTACTGTTCCAAACTATGCAAATGTGAAACTCTACTATTCTTTCCGTGAAGATCTTATATCAGGTTTACTGACCCGAACTTTCCACGGATTCCTGATACAACCTACATGCAAGTTGGATGCTACAAATGACTGACTCATCAAGTCAACGCCACATGAGGTAATTAAAAATCACCTGACATGTGGACAACATGTAGCCTTGCCAACCAGAATTATTCAAATCAATCTGGCACTGACTAAAACCAAACTGGCCAAAGAGGACTTCAATGTCATTAACTCAAAATAGAGGAGCCCAAAGTCATACGATTTGGCTTCCACAGCCCATCTGTCTCATAGGGCAAATTAAGGATTTAACTTCATGCTGCCTCTTTCCTCTCAGGAGGCAGTGATCCACCACATAGAGCTCCCTGATTTGCAAAGCCTATTCTTCTGACTCCAGATTCAGTTAACTGATTGTCCCCTTGAAAGAGCTCAAGGTAACCCAGCTACCATGCCTGTTTCCTTACACCTGCAGAGGAAGGCAGTTAATTAACAGCAGCATGGTGCAATGGAAAAAAAAAACATAATTTTTTACTTATTAGCAAATCATCTACTTTCTTTGAGTCTTGTTTTCTCATTGATAAAACAGGGATAATAAGAACCATCTTTCCCAAGATAAGGTCCTACTCTCCCACTGGAAGTTCCTTAGATTGGCTGATACTGGAAACATGTAGGCCTTCGAACGAACCTCTGACATGGAGCTCATAATGTGAATGTGAAAACTGGCGCTTCTAGGGACCCAGCACTGCTGGCCAGGCTTTAATAAAGACCAAACAAAATAATGGAAAAGCATAAATATGAAAATGACCTCAATCTAATTCTTCAAAAATACAAATCAAAACCTTCCAGGTCCCCTCTAGTGGCACCAAAATACTTATTGTTTAGGTCCAAGGAGTCCAGTGGACTGTAACACCCAATGAACAGGAAGGTACCGCGTGCGCCAGTGCAGAGGTGCTCAGGCTCCCGCATCCTTGCTGTGCTGGCCTGAGCAAACACTCATCCCGAAGTCAGTGTGTCCGAGGCACGTCATGGGACTGTTTAGTTTAACAGCCTATCCCAACCAAAGAGGCGATTCAGACCATGCCCGTCCACAGCTGCTCTCCCAGAAGTAGCCCTGCTCTCCAGAGAGGGCAGTGTCCTCATTAAGTGAGCCAAAGGACACAAGTAGGTGGGAGTGGCCAGAGGGGAGGGGTTTGCTTGCATAGTTTAAGGAGAAAAGGAGATGGCTCTAACACTGACACTGCAGGACAAAGACCAAACCTTGGCAATCCAGACACATCTAAGCGGCCTTTCTCCTCAAGCCAGTACATTCAGAAATGTAAGACCCAATCATAACGCTTCAAAGATGGGTAAAAAAAGTAGCAACTAAAGCCAGGAAAGGGAAGCACAGGTAAATATATGGTGGTCACCTTGCCTGCCTGCCACTCTCTAGGCCGAATGGTTCACAAAATGGAGCTCTTCGCATGCATCCAATCTCACATTGTAGCATTTAGTTTCACACGACTGCAGGTTAGGTAGGGCAGGTCTAACCCCACTTTTAGAATTGCAGTTTCTGAGAAGTGAAAAAAGTTGTTCACAGTCACATCTTCTGAATGGATTAATAGAGCTAAGTTCCCTGTCTTACCATCATTCACTTCAACAGAAGTGAGATCATTCAACTATCATACTTCTGAAAAGCATCTCTGTACCCCAGCACTTCATACAAGGCCTGGAGCATGTTACATACTGAACACATTTCAGTTGAATGAATTGATCAGACAGATAAATAATTGAGGAAAAGGCCTACTTCTTCCATCACTCCTATCCCCATCCTACATAACCAGGAGGGAACAGCAAATTTTCAAGGAGTGCACTTGCTTCATGCCGTGAGTTCTCAGGAAAGCCGACACGAAAAGCAATATACTTCAAAGCCTCTCATTTTTTTTTAGTGCCGAAGGTTTTCTCTGGCAAATGCAGTTATGATACCCTTATGGAAAAAATGCAATCGTTAAGAAATACAATTCAAAGGAGAAATTTCAGAGACTCCGCTGCAGTTCCAGCAGAAGGAAGGTGAAAACTGCTTCTAGACACAGCACCAGTTTGAAGGACAGAGCTCCACTTGGAGAACTTTGTATATGCAGCCTCGGGACACCTGGGTTTCAAACTATGGAATGAAACACTTTCAAAACAATGTTGTTTCACTGTCGGCACAAAAGAAAAATAAATTAAAAAGCCCGGTGCATTTTCCAGTCTGATATAAATTAATTCAAATGACATATTTAAAATAGGGTCAATTATAAGTTTCTCTCATAAAATTTTAAAAGGCAGCAATCAATCCTTGGATTGTGTAAGTGCAAAGGAATGGTATTTCTCCATAATCAAGACACTTTAGTATCTGTGTAAGAACTGCCAGTGTTCCAAGCTCATCAAAATCTTGGGCCTGTGCTGTTGAAGCAATCCTCTGGTCATACTGCTCCTTTCCCCTTAATGTCCAGCTTGTTACTGGCCTCCGACTGTTTGCTCAGCTGCTCTTCAGAGAAAGTGATATAGGAATACACCAGGCTCCCAGCAATGCTGCAAAATAGAACACCACCATTAGGGAGGGAGGAAGGAAGGGATGGCAAATGTAGGCGAGACCAGTGTGAGGGGTGGAGCTGCCTATGTAAGTTAACGGCATATAAAATTAAAACAGACACAGCATTTTCATCTACCCTAGAAGTGCTCCCCCCGTTATGGTATTATCCACTGCTGCTGATGCTTTGGGAAAACGAATGTTTGCACGTACCTGTCAGCAGGGGTGCCAATTTTATATAAGCTTTCTGGAAGACAGCAAGTTGAAATGAAAAACCCTGGAGTTCTGCTTATCCTTTGACCTAGCAATCTGCTTCACTGATGAACTGTGCACATGTTCTCAGACTTACTGACAAAGTGTTTACCACAAAATTTATAATAGCAGATAATTAAAGGGTAAATATCCAACAGTGAGGAATTATAGAAATTCATCAATAGAACACCATGCATCCATTAAAATGATATAAAATAAAAACAGGCAATGACATCTTAAATAATCTCATAAAACATCAAGTATTACCTAATCCTACTTTATTTTTTCCATTTTTAAAGATATATTTTATTGATTATGCTATTAGTTATCCCATTACCCCTTCATTCCCCTCCACCATGCATACCCTCTCCCACCCACATTCCCCCCTTTAGTTCATGTCCATGTGTCATAAGTTCTTTAGCTTCTACATTTCTCATACTATTCTTGCCCTCCCTCTATTTTCTACCTACCATCTATGCTACTTATTCTCTGTACCTTTTCCCCCTCTCTCCTCCTCCCACTCCCCTGTTGCTAACCCTCCATGTGATCTCCATTTCTGTGCTTCTGTTCCTGTTCTAGTGGTTTGCTTAGTTTGTTTTTGTTTTAGGTGTGTTTGTTAATAATTGTAAGTTTGCGGTCATTCCACTGTACATGCTTTTTATCTTCTTTTTCTTAGATAAGTCCCTTTAACATTTCATATAATAAGGGCTTGGTGATGATGAACTCCTTTAACTTGACCTTATCTGAGAAGCATTTTATCTGCCCTTCCATTGTAAATGAAAGCTTTGCTGGAAAGAGCAATCTTGGATGTAGGTCCTTGCCTTTCATGACTTGGAATACTTCTTTCCAGCCCCTTCTTGCCTGTAGGGTCTCTTTTGAGAAATCAGCTGACAGTCTGATGGGAACTCCTTTGTAGGTGACTGTCTCCTTACCTCTTGCTGTTTCTAGGGTTCTCTCCTTCATTTTAATCTTGGGTAATGTAATTATGATGTGCCTTGGTGTGTTCCTCCTTGGGTCCAACTTCTTTGGGACTCTCTGAGTTTCCTGGAATTCCTGGAAGTCTATTTCCTTTGCCAGATTGGGAGAGTTCTCCTTTATTATTTGTTCAAATAAGTTTTCAATTTCTTGCTCTTCCCCTTCTCCTTCTAGTACCCCTATGATTCAGATGTTGGAATGTTTAAAGATGTCCTGGAGGTTCCTAAGCTTCTCATTTTTTTTGAATTCTTATTTCTCTATTCTTTTCTATTTGGTTGTTTCTGTCTTCCTTCTGATCCATTCTATTGTTTTGAGTCCCAGTTTCCTTCCCATCACTATTGGTTCCCCACGCACTTTCCTTCATTTCTCTTATTGTAGCCTGCATTTGTTCATCTAATTGGTGATCAAAATCAACCAATTCTGTGAGCATCTTGATCACCAGTGCTTTGAGCTGTGCATCTGATAGGTTGGCTATCTCTCAGTCACTTAAAAGGATGGGTTCTGGGGCTTCTAATTCTGTTTGAGCCATCTTTTTTTTTCTTTGGTCTGGTCCCACCTGCTACATATGAGGGGGCGGAGCCTTAGGAGTTCACCAGAGTGGGGCACCCCAGTCGCTGTGTTGTGATGCTGTATGTGGGGACAGGATCTGAGTGGGAACAGTGGCGCCTGTTCTGCTCTCTGTTGGACCTCAGTCCCTTACGCTGCTTCCCCCAAGCAAACTGGGCCCCTCTGGTGCCAATTCCCGTGTGGGTGGGCTCGTGCACCCTGTGGGACTTTCCAAGGACCTCTCTTGTGAGGCTGGGAGTCTCTCCTTGCACTTCAACCCCACAGGTGTTTTCAATCAATGGCCCGAGGCTCTTATTTCCCAGCGCTGGGATCCTGGGTTGCACGCAGGAACTGCTTCACAATTCCTGCCTCGCTGGGTCTGCCGCTTGCCACCCCTAGGCTGGGGTCTGCCAGCCGCCACTTGTGTGCTCAGGGTCCACCCGCTGCGGTCTTGCGCACCCTGGACACCTTACCGCGCCCAGTCTCAAAGCTCTCTGCTCTCCGAGCTGGGACCCGTGCCCAGCTGCCCAACTCCACCCCTCCTACCAGTCTGGATGAACAGGTTTATTTTAACTTCTTGGTTGTCCGACTTCCATACAGTTCAATTTTCTGTCAGTTCTGGTTGTTATTCTGTTTCTAAATTGTTGTTGTCTGTATCTTGGTTGTATGTGTGTCTACCTATGCCACAGTGTGTCTACCTATGCCTCCATTTGGCCAGAAGTCCCCATTTTATTTAAATGAACAAGAATACGTATATTGATATGCACCAGAATAAAGTCTGGAAGGAACACAACAAGGATATTAACAATGGTTATATCTGAATGGCAAAGTTATAGGTGATTTCTTTATTATTTGTATTTTCTGCATTTCTGAAAATAATCATTCAAGACATGTTATTTTTAATAAGAATAAAAATTATCCCAATTAATAAGTAAACATACAGACCCTGGGAGATTCACAGAGCTGGTTTCTCTCTGACTAGAGTTGCGTTTACAGTGGAAAACCCATGACCTGAGCTCTCAGCCTTTGAGTTGGTTGCTGGTCCCTTCACTTGTCTGCCACATCTACCATCAGGAGGATCTACTCTTAGACAATGATTACTCTTATCTACATGCAGTTTATTAGTAACTCTCAGAGTGTTTTCCCAGGTGAGCATTCATTCTTCCTCTTATGAGATATTTGCAATATTGATATTAGGTGGGCACCAGACTACTTTCCCAGTATTACTCTCATTCTGACCATACCTGAGTACCTCCTGCTAATCCTCCCCAGCTCCCATCTAATGTCTACATTCAGAGCTTTGTGCTTTCAAGCTATGGTTGGAAATACCCAGCCTTCCCTTTTCCACCTCCCCAAGGCCTACCTAATGTTCAAGGCCTAGTCCTACCTAAGTATACTTTCCTCTATGAAGTCTCCCAAACAACTCTGCTTGATTCTAGTTTCTGAGACTACCACAACCTTAATTACTGGTGCCAGTCTGGATAGCTACTTTATAACACTGTGTATTAATAGCTTGAGCTCTGGCTGGTGTGACTTAGTGGACTGAGTGCTGGCATGCGAACCAAAAGACCACTGGTTTGATTCCCAGTCAGGGCACATGCCTGGGTTGTGGGCCAGGTCCCCATCTAGGGGTATGCGACAGGCCACTGGTCAATGGATCCCTCGTACATCAACATTTTCCCCCCTCTCCTTTCTCCTTTCCTTTCCATCTCTTTAGAAATAAATAAAATCCTTAAAATAGATAGTTGTTGAAAGCTCTTTTGAGAGAATATATAAAAACTGCCTTGTTGCTATTATTGCTATATAAATGCTTAATGTTATGAATGCCATATGATTCTTCTATAAATGAAAGCCAGTACTAATAACATAATCATTTCACACTCACCCTCCTCCTTCAGTCTAATCTCAGCACAGTGGCCAGAGTAATCCTATTGTAACTGAATCAGATCATGTCACTCCTCTATTCAAAAGACTCCAATGTCTTCGTTTCTCTTAAAAGTAGTCCCTAACAGAAACTTGACTTGGGGTGGCTGAACATACAATACAGGGTACAAATGGTATGTTGTGGAATTGTGCACCTGAAACCTGTATAATTTTGTTAACCAGTGTCACCCCAATAAATTCAATAAAATAAATAAACAAAATAAAAAACAGTATTACCTAAGTGCCCTTCTTGCTTCATTCACTCCCCTCCACCCCACGACACTGGCCTCCCTGTGGTCCCTGGAACACACTGAGCATGCTCCCACTCCAGGGCCTCTTCACTTGCTCTGCCCTCCAGAAATCAATGTGGCTCATTCTCTCCAGTTTTTTTGGTCTTTACACAAAATGCAACCTCCTCAGTAAGTGCCCCCACCTCTGAAATACTGCTTTATTTTTCTGCAGTACTATTTATCATAACTAACATTTATCACCAGCAAATAGTTCCCTCATTTATCTCCATTCATTTTCTGTCTCCTCTAGTAGAAGGAAAACTGCATGAAGGACAAGGGTTTGGTCAGTTTCGATACCAACTCTATCTTCATTGCCTAAAACAATGTTTGGTACCCAGAAGGTACCAACCATGTATTTATTTATAAATAAAGGACTCTCCCACCTAGATTACAAGTTCCCTGAAGATAAATATTAGTCTATGGATTTGCATGCACTAAGTAGTCACTTCCTTTAATATATGTACAAAAAGGATTCAGCAAGGATTCAATTCTTACCCTGCTTGCAAAGGGAAATAGAAGAATAAAGACAAATCAGGCAGGAAATAAGCAAGGAGGCTTTGGAAATGTTCAAAACAAAGAGGGGCCGTTTTAATTTCTTACCCTATGTGCCCTCACATGGTTAAATTATGAGGCATATTTTAAAAGTCACACCAAATTTAGAATCTCAGCTCTGATTCTTACTATGGTAGCTGTGTGACTTTGGGAAAGTTACTTCACCTCTCTGAACCTCCATTTCATTATAGTGAACTGGGAGATGATTAAACATCCCCCAGATGACACTACAAAGGTGGCTTTCACCTACCAGGTATTCAACAAGCATTAACTTCTGATCTGTTGCCTTCCCAGGTATCTATCTGTGTCCTTTCTATACTTGGATAAGTGTTGGTCTGTGCATACCCTTTAAAAATAGAAGTCAAAGAATTCTGGCCAGAATGTGAACCATTCTACCTGCCTAGGAATTTTAAGATAACCAAAATGGGCCCTGGCTGGTGTGGCTCAACAGATTGAGTGCCAGCCTGCAAACCAAAGGGTCGCTGGTTAGATTCCCAGGCAGGGCACATGCCCGGGTTGTGGGTCATGTCCCCAGTAGGGGGCGTGCAAGAGGCAACCACACATTGATGTTTCTCTCCTTCCCTTTCTCTCTCCCTTCCCTTGTCTAAAAATAAATAAAATCTTAAAAAAACCCAACAAGATAACCAAAATGGTATACACACTTTCAAAAATAGTTTAGAAATCCCTTATACACATACACTTACCATAATACCCAGGAATTCCACTCCTAGGTATTTATCCCAAATAAAATAAAAATTTATGTTCAACACAAACTTCTAAGCAAACATTTTAGCAACAAGTGCAAAACAAATAAAAACTGCAAACTTGTCTTTCAATTGGTGAATGGATAAACTGTGATATATCCATAATGGAATACTACTCAGCAATAAAAAGGTACAAACTACTGGTAAACATAAAATCTTAAATTAAAGAAGCCAGACCAAAAGCAACATACTATTATGTATCATTATATGACATTCTGGACACTACATGGATAGAACACAGATATTTGTCAGGGGCAGAAGTTCAATGCAAAGGGACATAGAGAGATCTGGGGGGCTGGAAGCAGGTGATAAAACTGTTTTTTATCTTAAATGTGGTGTAGGAGATACAAGACTGTATGCATTTGTCAAAGCTCGTAAAACGCTACACTAAAAGGAGTGAATTTTACTATACTTAAGTCTATATTAATATTTTTTAATGGAAGGGGAAAAGAATCACAGATAAAGATGAGTTCCAGGGATTCTCAGAATGCCAGCCAGGGCAATTATGAGGATGGTGAGGCCATCATCTAGAAAGGGTACATTACGTGGGTCAAAGCCACAGGCCAGAGCCCAGCCACTGACAGCGGTAGAGTAGCCTGCTCAGTCGCCACTCTTCACTATTCATTCCCCACCCTCTCTATCACAGTCTTAGGCTTAGATGAGCACCTAGAAAGTGACCACTGAAAAAAGGCATTTAGAGACAGCCAAACTTAGCCATACCCCCCTCAAAAAAATACCTCCTTGAATCACAGAATAAAATTTGGACAGAACTGAGTAGCCACCAATGCAAACCTGATGCTTCTTGCACTTGAATCATACCAGAGAGAAACCTTTTTAAATTTGTCTTAAAACAGGAGAAAAACTAGGCAGGATGGTGGTTAGATGTATCTGGGTTTAATCATGGAATTCTTTAAGAATATAGTTCAATTAGTGATTTCTTTCAAAGTTCAGTCAGTCAAGGATGGAATGACATCATCTCCAAAGTAAAATCTGGTAAGTAGCCACCTTAAGTTTGTTTTTTATATTAAAAAAAAAAAAGAAAGAAACATGAATAACCTATAAATCTGCTTACTAACCAGTGGAAGATAAATCAAGAAAATTACACCACAAAGTCATGAAAAATAACCCAGACAATATGTATTTTTCTTTACAAAAGTTGAAAAACACACTGTAATGGAAATAGTATTTGAACAGAAGGTCACACAGATTCTAATCCCAATGCTACCAATAATTTGAATGCTGACTGGCTAACTAAATACATAATTTATTCTCCCTAGCCTTGTCATAAAGCAGGGATTAAAGAGATATGACTTGCAAAATGTATTACAACAAAATATGAAAGCAATTAGAAATTATTAAAATACCACATAGGGACAGAATACCAATGACATTATTATCAACTAAGCTTGGTAGCAAAATAGTACTGTTTAACAAGAACTGTAATATACTACCTGACACAAACAGAAATTCCACTGGAAGAATTTTCAAGATGTTGGATTTGATACATGCTAGGCTGACATAAATTATAACATTCCAGTATACTCAGGAACTTAAAAAGTTATTTTAAGTAGCTTGCAATGTTAAAAAAGATACCTACCCTTTTTTATGAGATTATCTTAAATTTGAACTGCAGAGATCCAAACAGAAGCTTTTGTTTATTTTGGCTATCGGGTATTTTATTTTAAGGAGACAAAAAAAAAAAAAAAACTGAAGCATCTCTGACTCAGGTCTGTACATCCAGATTTTTCTTTAATCCAGATTTTTAGAAATATATGAAACTCAGGCCACATCCAAAGACAGAACTAGTTTACCATTTTGCTCCTTATATCCTGGCCCTTCCTCACAAATTTTAATGAAAGAAATAGATACTTACTAAGTATAGATGTCAAGCAATGAAGTACATACTTTATACCCCTTAGATATTTCATTCTAACGACTCTAAAAAGACAGGTATTTTCACCCCCATCACATAAAAAATCTGAAGCTCAGAAAAGATAAACAACGAACTCAAAGTCCACAGTGGGCAAGCTTCAGAACTGCAACTCCAAGTGTAGTTTGAGACCCAGCCACTCACCTTCCTGCTGTGACATGCAAGTCTCAGGCACACAAATATACCCACCATCTCCCAACCCCACAAATAACAATTGATTTTTTCCTTTAAAAGGCAAACAATAATAGTGGCAAAAGGATGTCAGGGAAGGAGCAATGATGAATTATTAATTATGTATGAATTATTTATTGTTGTATTAATAATGTTATGATATAATATAATCATATGGATTATATATTGTTATATTTATATGAATTATACATTATTTTTAACATTCATGTTAAATTCTCATATTGATCCATCAGAAAGGTAGAATAGGTATTATCATTTGTTTACATTTGAAGAAATAAAAGGTCAAAGAGGTTATATAATTTGTTTCAAGTTATTGTAGAAAGATGGTACTATCATATTCTAGTAGAGAGCTTTATGGTTCCCAAAGTACTTTTTCACCATTCCATACAGAATTCATCAAGCAAATATTTATTAAACAACTACTAAGATTCATTCTAGGAGCTTGGGAAACTTGAGTAGACAATGATCTCTATCCTCATGCAGAAATCTCTATCCTCATGGAAGTTACCTTCTAGCAGGGGAAACAGAAAATAGGCAATAAATATAACTTGGCAAATTATACAGTATATTAGAAATAGATTAAGGGCTCTGAAAAGGGTAACTAGAAAAGCAGAATAAGAGCATTTGGAAGTATCAAAAGGGGAAGAGCAGGTTGCATTTTAAATAAGGTGATTAGAGCAGACTTCCTTCAGAAGGTAACATCTGGGCAAAAACATGTAGGCGTAAAGGAGCTGGTCATACAAGTATCTGCAGTACAGTGTCCCAGGCAGAGGAAGTAGCCTGTACAAGGCCCCAGAGTGAGAGCACGCTCAGCATGCTAAAGGAGCAGCAAGGAACTGTGTGAAGGCAGTGGAATGAGGGAGAAGAGAAGCAGGAGCTGAAACTGGAGAGGTAAGTAGAGATGAGATAGATCTTATAGGGCCTTGTTAGGACTCTGGGGCATGGAGAGTTGGGGGGCGGTGGTAAAAAGTGGGTATGTTCTGACTTACCTTGTACAAGGGATACATTGTTTACTCTGTTGAGAATTGCCAGGTAACTCTGGGGGGTGGGGTAGGTGGGAAGTTAGTCAAAATAGGGATAAATGTAGAAGATTAGGCAGTAATTTAGGCAAGAGACATTGGTGGCTTAGATGACAATGAAGCAATGCAGATGGTCAGCAGTGATCCTTTTCTGAGTATATCCTGAGGGTAGAGCCAACAGTATTTGCTAACACACTAGACACTGAGCATAAGGTTGAAGAGTAAAGGATGATGCCAAGGGTTTTGAATTGAAAGGCTAGAAGGATGGCGTCTCCATCTCAGATGCAGGGGCTCTAGGTAGAATAGACTTCAGAGAAACTAAAAGGAGTTCAGTTTTGGACATGTCAGCTGAAGGTGTCAAGTGGGCTGTTACATATACAAGCCTGAGTTCAGGACAGAGGACTGGCCCAAACACAAATTTGAGAATTCTTAAGAATATAAATAGATTTAAAAACATGATATTCAGAATTTTTGAACTGAAAAAGATATTCCATACAAGTCACCCTCATCACTGATGAAGATAAATGAAATCTAAAGAAATGCAGTGATACAGTCAAAGTGAGACACATACAAAGCATTTTAATAGAGCTGGTATTCTCTAACCCTGTACTTTCTTGAGAACAGTGTACTGCCATCTAGCATACTAAGTAAAGGTCTGTTCTTTGAAGTGTTAAATAAAAGGAGTTCAACTTCCAGAAGTGAGTCCCCAGTGATTATGCATAAAATATGGATATTTTAATGGAAAATATAGAAAAAATGGTTATTTTCTCTCCCTTTCTCAAAAAACACTATCTAAAGATATTACATTGTAGGCACTCCATAAATGTTTGGTTAATAAATGAACAAATTTGCCATTAAATAGCCCAACCTTAACCAGGATACTATCTGAGTATCCACAGCCTACTTGCCCAAATGTTTATATTTAAATATTTTTACTTACCTGATATTTAAGCCAATGAAGTTCGTCCATGTGAAAATATAATCTCCACCAAAGACCATTCCAATATAAGTTATTAATATATTCTAAAAAAAAGGCAATAAACTGTTACATAGGTTTACCTGAGCTTTTTAAATATTCATATAAACTCACCCATGCCATGAGCCAAATACCAAATACCTATTCTTAAAATGCAAAACCAAAGGGACAATAATGGAAATCCACCAATCCTGACATGAGTACAGTAGGAGCAAGAACACTGACAAAGAAATGACACTAGCCTCTCCCTAGTCGATCTCTCCAAAAACGAAATGCTTTCACCAACACTGGAAAATACTAACAGGACTATCGCACTTTCTCTGCCCTGTGGTATGGACTAACGGTATATATCCAAATAGAGAATCACTGTCGTTACTAAGGGTAGAAAACACTAGGGCACCCTTAGCAACCTTAGAAAAGAATGCTTTTCCTCTCATTACGATAACTGTTGACCTGCGAGGGGACAGTAAAGAAGGAAAGTCTGCTGATAAGCAAACTCTCTGTCTCTTTTTTGAAAAGAAAAAGGGAATGGTGGAGGGTTTACCAACATGAAGACTGTTTTTAGAGGAACCGTCCTTGGTATCTTAAAAAAAAAAAAAAAAAAGGGAAGTCCTCTCAAAGTAGCATCCCTAAAATCACCTCTCCTAACTCTTTGCAACCCCCAGGTGTAAGCATCATCTGCCTATCTGGCTGGCTCTCCTTTAGTTAAACTCACACCACAAAAGTTAAATAGAATTTTCCAAGGTTATTATTCAGTTCTTTGCTAACCTCCGTTCTTTCACATTCGTAAGGCATTGCCTCCTTCTCTGCCTTTACAACTGCCAGAAACGGTGCCACAAACATTTTCAGCCCTGGGCTCCACTAAATTAGGCCTCTGAAACAGAAAGTGAAGTGCTATAGTGCTTTTAAAATGTCAAAAACAAACTTCGAAATTACTTTTATATTGGAGTGCCCTTTGAGCATTCAAAACTATGTCGGCCTCTCCTAAGCCTAAGGATAGAGAAAGCAAGTTGCCTTTGAGCAGGTCTTTTTAATCATTTGAGAGGGGAACAACGAAGCATGTCAACAGTAGGCAACTTGGGAAAATGTGTAAGAGGACCTCTCTTAAAATACAGAGATCCAGCGATCCAGGGAGAAGGTAGATTAATTTGCATAAATTGACCAAGGAACTTTAGAAAGGGAACCCAATCTTTATTGCACAAAACCAATCAGAAGTTAGACAAACTCTAAGTACCCATTAGGGCAACCTAACAAAGATTTGCATCAGGAAAAGACACCAATCCCCAAAGCAGAACTACCTAGGAAGCACAGAAGGGTCTGGTAGCTCAAAGCTAATTCTCAGATTTTAGTAATATCTGAAAATCACCTGGAGACCTTTTAAAGATGGTAATTTCCAGGCTCTACTTTAGAGATTCTGATTCGATTATATCTGAGGCAAGCCTAGGAATTCCTATTTTTAACTAGTTATTCTAAGTAATTTTCCTCCTCTACTTAAAAGGAACAAGGAATGCTGACCCAAGGGTTTAAGCCAGGGGTGTCAAACTCATTTTCACCAGGGGCCACATTAGCCTTGCAGTTGCCTTCAAAGGGCCAAAATAATTTTAGGACTGTATAAATGTAACTACTCCTTAACCGTTAAGGAATTGAAATTACATTCGGACCTCTGAGAGCAACCACAAGGCTGGTGTGGCCCCCAGTGAAAATGAGTTTGGCACCTCTGGTTTATAGGGTTAGGATCCTCAAGCACAGAAGAGCTGAAAGGGTAGGAACTGAGAGGCTAGCGAAAGAAGCTCCTTTGGCACACCTGAGACTGTGCACTCCCATCTGTCAGGAGGTGTAAGACCCTTCAACAGTGACACTGCATGGAGGTAAGGAGAGACAGCAACTGTAAACTAATCCGACAATCCAATTTTCCCCTTCTAGTTTGTAAGTAAAACTAATCCCTTTGGACTGTGGGGAGAAGGAAATATCAAAAGAAAAGTACTAAACTTTATGTTAATGAAAGTATGATTGTATTTGTACCTCATGCACTAAAAAATTCTAAGCAAACAGGTTTAGTTATCAAAATTAAACACAGGCCTTTTTGTACTTTCTTTCTTCTTGGCTAAAAACATGGTACCAACGACACTATTCTTGCTGTTCTTATTTTGAAGATGCAAGCCATCCTCTCTATGTTTAAAGCCCGTACTTTATAAAGCTGAGAGAGAGCTGAGAGCTAATTTGGGGTGCTAAAATCATGTCAGCCAGCTAGACCTCTGAACGTTTATTAACTGTAGATTATCTCTAGATTTCATGGGAATTCGCACAACTGATTGTTACAGCTTAATTTACAGTTCTATTCACACCAAACACTCCAATTCCACAATTAGAAGTCACAGACCTTCTGAAATTTTAACCCAAATCCAGTTTCTAAAATAAGGTCCTGTGGACACCACTCATTGGGGTCACAAAGGGACACACAGCAGAGCAATACAAACTTTACCTCTGCAATCATTTCCCTCTCTTTTTGACAAGGGGCATCATACAGACAGTCCCAAAGGCAACTGCACTCTTCCCCCCAAGTGGTCTAGGCTCCACCTCTCTCCATTTTACCTGTTTTAGAAAGCAAGCCTACCTAGCTAATGGATCTTAAAGCACTAGAATTACAAAGTCAGATGAAAGAGACCTCAGGCTTCAAGCCACTAACTTCAGCTCAATATTCAAGTCCACTTGGCTCTTCTGGAGGAAGACAAATGAGCCTCCCTCAAATAAAATGGATCAGGAGGAACTGACATCACTGGAAATGTCAGACACAGCTTTAAAAAGTGGGCCATTCGAGGTTTGGCTCACGCATAGGAAAACTCCCTTGACTAACTTCTGGCAGGCATCTGTTCCCTACAGAACAGCCAGAACTCAGTGAGTCAGAGAACAGACCCGATCTCATTAGGGGTTAAAGACAGGCCTCTCCCTACTGGGCTTGTCACCTGCTCTGTCACAAATAGGCCAAATTCTCCATCCTCTATTCTAAGGCAACACACTCTCCTTCTCTCATACTCCTCAGAGCTAAATTGCCTAAAAGCAGAGATTATCCCTCCCTGAGTTCTTAAAGATTATTTCAGAGACCACCACCACAATTTGTCAAATGGTCAAAAAAAAAGTGAGAAAATAAGGATTATGGAGCTTAAGGCCATAGTCAGACTTATTTTAGAGGAATAATTTTTCAAATAATGCAGTTACCCAAAAAATAACAGTATTTTTTCAACTCACCTTAATACAGCCAACTATTGTAGTAGTAAGAGCAGAATTATACTGAGTGCAAAGTACTGTGGCATACATCAAGATAAACCTGGAATGAAGAAGAGGTATCTTATAAGTAAGATTCACTTGCTTAACTTTGTAATAATCACCAGCCAAGAAAAACAATCAGTGCTGGCTAATCCAGTTTCTGACTGGGAGCTTTCTTATTTTACTGCTGCTTGTACTGACTCTCTTCAGATTTTTAAAAATTTCATTAAAAAGAAACTCATGTCTATTTACTGACCAGGTGTTTTTCCCAGCTACCTTAACCAAAATTTTGAACTCATCATTTACAATCATGAGTACTCTGTTTAGATCAAATTCCTTCTAGTTCACTTAAACTAGACAGGAAGCTCGGAGCTCACAGATGCTAGCTGAGATGTGCATCTCCCATTAGGGCAATATGACCTGTGGACCAGGGTGAAGGCAAGAGAGATTCTTAAGGATGGAAGAAAACCAAATCAGAACTGCTTTAAGGAGATATAGCATGCTCGTTTTGGCAGCAAAATGACTAAAATTGGAATGATACAGAGAAGAGGGGATATGGGTTCACTTAACAACTAAGTGGCAGCAGTTGGAACTCCCAGATGTATAATGAGTTCTGAGTATCAAGTACTCACTACTAAGGCACCACATCAACTTTATTTTGAAGCTCACTATGTACCTAGCCTGTGCCAGACACAGTCACAAATGTCAACTGAACTTGACTGGTGGAGCAAAAAATGTGTCAGGGAAATAAGGAGGTGGAGAGAAGAGGCACATTTGCAGATACCCTCCAGCCTTCTGCATATACTCTTCTAAGAGGAATACAGTCTGCTAGTGAGGAGTCAAACAGTCCCAAATTTGAGGGCTGCCACTGCCACCTACTAATTGTGCAAACTTAGACAATCTATCTACTTCTATACCTGCTTTTTCATAGGTAAAGGAACAACAATATCTCCCAAATGGTCACTGTAGAAATAAAATAAAATAAAATAAAATAATGCATCAACTATATGGTAAAAAATAATGTTGAAATGTGACAGTGCTTACCACATACTACATTATCGGGTAATATTAGTTTTTCTCCATTCATCTAAGCATGACTTTGGGATCATATTAGTTGCCCTGAGGGCACATTCCCAAGGGCTGTGAAACAACCAGAATCTGGAGGTTTAATTATCCTAGGCTGATACACTCAAGAGACAAAACAGGATACTGAGGAATGAGGCAAAAGGACCTGGAACACATTTCTCTAGGAAAGCTATCTGTAACAAGGCAGCAAAGGCTTACCCCATCACACAAGAGAGGGTGAACTGCAGAAGAAAGAGTGTGTCAGCCCAGCCTTCAAAATCCATTGCCTGCAATGACAAAGCATTCGATTTCAGAGCAAAATTAGCAGTCCTATTTTTTAATCAAAATCCTGTGTGGCTCAGTTGGTTGGATGTCGTCCTGCAACACAAAAGGTCACCAGTTTGATTCCCAGTCAAGGCACACGCCTGGGTTGCAGGTTTGTTCCCTGGTCAGGGTAAGTACAAGAGATAACTAATCGATATTTCTCTCTCACATTGATATATCTCTCCCTCTCTTTCTCCCTCCCATCCCCTCTCTCTAAATATAAAACAAATTAAATTAAAAAACAAAATCCTGTGTGCTTGCTCCCACCACGCGTGCACACACACACATACACTCCCCTGCACCCCTATAAGGACAGAGAATGATGAAATTTCAGAAATTTCATATATATGAAGTTGAACCAATAAACAGTTTCAGAAGGTTTTCTCCTTTCCACAATGTAATGTGAGATTTTTGTTCTCTGTTGGTACAAAGAAACTGGTTTGCTTGAAGGGATAAGCCACATTGGGCAAATCTCAGCAGTTCTCCCAGATGGCTAGTATTAAAGGCTTTCTCAAACATTAAAACATATTTTCTCCTTGTAGCATGTGAAAGCTCAAGTATAGCCTTAGTTACACAAATTCAGATGAAGTCTATCCTGGGAGAATTACTATTTTAAAATCATTGATTGTAAAAGCAAGGTTTTGTTGTTTTTTTAAGCCAAAAGCAATGGAACAAAGAGACATGAATAGGTGCACTGAGCATCTCATCTCTCATCCAAGAGGGAGGGTTTCTCTCTCAAGGACATAACTTCTCAATATGAATTTGATAAGCAAATTTGAGAAACATTTCATCTTTTACCTCTGCCAACCTGTCCTGCTTCAATTCTTGCCACTTTGACATAAATCTCACTAGTCTAGGGTTCCGCCAATACCAGGCTCCTTGTGGTTTATAAAACACAACGTGCAGTTTCACACTCACATGACTTTTGCCTGGAATGCACATGCCCTCAACACTTACCTGGCTCTGTTCACCCATCACACTAAAGGTCAAACACCTCCTCTGTGGGACTTTCCCTAATCAAGAACTCCTTCCTTTGTTTCTCAGCAGATGTACTCTGCGGGCTCTTCTCTCTCTGAACTGTGTCTTTCGATACCAACTCTCCAGACTGCAAGCTGCGTGGGGACAGGACCCACGCCACATTTATCTAACCATGTTCCTAACAAAGCACTTGACAGACAGTAGACATTCAGTTTGTTTATGTTTTTTTTCTGTGTTGAGGCATAATATATCAAAAATAAGATTCAGCAATTTTAAGTGTATAATTCAATGAGTCTTAATAAATGTATATAGCCACGTAAACTTCATTGCAAGCATGATAAAAATTTTCAGTCCCAGACCATAAAACTCCTAGGAGAAAACCATAAGGGAAAAAGGTCCCTGACACTGGTCTTGATAACAATCTTTTAAATATGATATCAAAAACAACAGAAGCAAAAATAAGTAAGAAGAAACCCATCCAACTAAGTAGCTGCTGCACAGCAAAGGGAGCCGTCAATGAAATGAGAAGGCAACTTACTGAATAGGAAAAAATATTGACAAACCACATATCTGATATGGGTTAATATTCAAAATCTTTAAGAATCTTTAACAGGGTTAGCATTCAAAACACTAACACTCAACAGCAAAAAATTAAATAACTCAATTTAAAAAATGGACAGAGGAATTAAATAGACATCTTTCTAAAGAAGACATATAAATGGACAACAGGTAGATGAAAAGGTACTCAACATCACTACTCATTAGGGAAATGCAACTCAAAAGCACGAGATACCACCTCATACCTGTCAGAATGGCTATTATCAAAAAGACACAACAAGGGCTGGTGAGGGTGGAGAAAAGGGAGACCTTGTGCACTGTTGGCAGGAATGTAAATTGGTGCAACCTCAACAGAAAACAGCATGGAGGTTCCTCAAAAAATTAAAATTAAAGCTGCCATACAATCCAGCAATCCCACTCCTGCGTATTCAACCAAAGGAAATGAAATCAGGATCTCAGGGGACACCTGCATTCCCATGTTTACTGCAGCATTACTGACAACAGCCAATACACGGAAAGGACCTGAGTATCCATCTACAGATGAACGGATAAAGAAGATGTTACACACACACACACTGGAATGTTATTTAACCGTGAGAAAAAGGGAAACCCTGTCATTTGCAATAACAAGAATGGAACCTGAGGCATTATGCAAGGTGAGGTAAGTCAGACAGAGAAAGACAAATACTCTACAGTCTCACAGAAACAGGGAGTAGAACTGCCAGGGACAGGGGTGGGGGTGAGGGGGTAGATGTTGGTCAAAGGCTACAACTTCCAGCAATAGGATAAAAAAGTTCTGAGGATCTAATGTACAATATGGTATTATAGTTAACAATACTGTGTTGTATACTTGAAAACTGCTAAGAGATCTTAAATGTTCTCATCAACAAAAAAGAAATGGCAATTTATGTTGTCATTACGAAAATATTGTTGTGCTCACTTCAACAGTACTTATATTAAAATTTGAATGATACAGAGAAGATCAGCATGGCCCTTGAACAAGTATGCCATGCAAATTCATGAAGCGTTCCATACTTTCATATAATAATATCTAATGAAATAATCAAAATAATTTCATCTGCTTTTGGAATATTTTATAGTGCTTGTACTATAGGATTTATAAAAGGAATTTAGTTAAGGTAGACTGTTAAATAAATTTGGGAAAATATGAGCTATATTTTAAATTCATTGGGTCTAAAGAACCAAAAATGTCAATTTAACTCTTAACTTGTTGTGCCTAGATACCACGACACATACACAATATGCAAACACCAACCTAATTGCTGTACTTTTCTGCTTATTTTACAGGCTTACATATTACTCATTTCATGATCTTGTAATTTAACTCTTTATGCTCCTCCCTCTGATTTTTCATAATGGTAAACAAAACTTAAACTTTCAGAAATTCACTATGAAGTTTCATACTTTGACAAGTTATTATATAAATACTTGGGTTTTACAATATTTAATTGACCTAATATCAACCTACATTGTGGAGATGTTTTGGGATGTGATTTAGGAACCAGCTTTATAAAGAGTGTTAGTATGTCATAAAATTGTAGCTTATTTAAAACCAAATATAGTTGCCCATATTCAAACTGCATTTTCACAAAATGGATGATTGAGTACTCCTTTGGTCACTGATGAACAGTGGAACTTTTTAAAATATCCTCACCCAAGGATATGTTTATTGATTTTTATAGAGAGAGGAAGGGGAAGAGAGAGAAACAGTGATTGGTTGCCTCCCATGTGAACCCCAACAGGAGACAGAACCCTCAACCTGCGAATGTGCCCTGATCGGGGATGGAATCTGCAACCTTTTGGTGCCCGGGGGCGATGCTCCGACCAACTGAGCCACCTGGACAGGGCAACAGTTGAACATTTTAAAGTGTTACATGTAAAGTCTTAAAATGTCAGTTTTCATATTAAAATTAAAAATTTGATGTTTTATTTGCAAAAAAAATAGATTTTAAGTTTTTATTGCAGACTTTCAGATTTTGAGTACCCTCTATCATGCTTCCATTTTTGTTATTTTAAAGCACCAAACCAATCTTTTTCCCTTAAAATTTTAATCTTATAACACTGAAATCCTGTGTTAATGAAATTTGGTCCCATTTCAAATAACTGAAGTTGAAAATAAAAGAGAAAATATTGTCTCCCAGCCTAGAGTTGCCTTTTCATTTTCTTCATAGAATCTTTTAGGAAAAAAGTTAATTTTGATTGTAGTCTAACAGAAATTCTGTCTTTTATAATTCTTGCTTTTTATGACTTTTCTGTGAAACCTGGTCTAACCCAAAGTTACCAAGTTGTTTTCCTATGTACTCTTTTAGTTTTATGATTTTAGCTCTATGTTTAGGTCTCTGATCCTTTTTGTATTAATTGGCTAGGACACTGTAACGAAGCACCACAAACTGAGTGACTGAAACAAGAGAAATGTATCATCTTAAATTCTAGATGCTGGAAGTCCCAGATCAAGACATCAGCAGGTTGCTTCCTTCTGAGAGCTGGGAGAGAATCTGTTCTATCCCTCTCCCCCTGCTTTTGGTGATTTGCTGGCAATCTTTGGTGTTCCCTAGCTTGTGGAGGCATCATTCTGATGCTGGCCTTTGTGTTCACATGGCATTCTCCCTATGTGACTGTCTGTATCCACATTTACCCTTTTGTAAGTACACCAGAAACACTGGATTAGGGGTGTCCATTCTACTCCGGTATGATTTTGTCTTAACTAATTATATCTGCAATGACCCTATTTCCAAATAAGATCACATTCTGAGGTACTGCAAGTAGGAATTCAGCATATGAATTGGGGGGAATGGGGATCACAATGCAACTCAGTATTTTTCAAATTGATTTTGTATATTTGTCCCATTGATCTATATCTACACATAATCCAACATCACACTGTCTTGATTACTGTAGCTTTTTAAGAAGTCTTGATATCAAGTAGAATAAATCCTCCAATATTTTCCTTTTTCAAAAATGATTTGACAAGCCCTGGCTGGTGTAGCTCAGTGGATTGAATGCGGGCTGCGAACCAAAGTGTCGCAGGTTCGATTCCCAGTCAGGGTACATGCCTGGGTTGCAGACCATGACCCCCAGCAACCGCACGTTGATGTTTCTCTCTCTCTTTCTCCCTCCCTTCCCTCTCTAAAAATAAATAAAATCTTTAAAAAAATATTTGACTCATTGAAATCCTTTGCAATTCTATATAAATTTTAAAATGATCTTATCAATTTCTACAAAAAATTCTGCTATGGAATTGGGGCTGTGTTGAATCTATAGATCCATCTGGGGAGAACTGACAAATTAACAACATCAAATCCTTGAGCTGTGGCAAAGCATCATATTCTACAAGCAGATGGACTGAACTTTGCTTTTTAATATACTTATATACCTACTTGTACATCCTGGTAAATAGATTTTAAGT